GTTTCTCGCTTCTCTTGCAATAGACCTAGCCTCTTCCACATCATGTGCATTACTATGATTTAAATCCTTTGCTAGCTCATATGCTTCTTCAAATCTATGGTTTTCGAGAGCACTTCTAGCTAGCCATAATCTGGCTTTAGATGTTTCATCACTAACTCCCCATTCGTATTCCTGATCGAAACATAATTTCATATACTTATATGTATCCTTAGACCGCCCTAGCTTTTGAGAAATGGTCGCCAATCTGTAACATATATGTGGTTCATAATTGAATACTTCTTCAGTGCTATCAAGTCCACCTTTGCTATAATTATCTATTGTTAATGCCTTTTCAAACGATTTAATAGCTTCTTCGTATTTCTCAATCTTTTCATAACAATTTCCAATTGCTTGCCACATTCTTTTATCTAATGGCTGTAAACTCGTTGCTTTTTGATAGTAATATAACGCATATAAATGCATATCTAAAACCTCATATGCTTGACCTAAACCATACCAAGCCCTGAAATCTTTTGGATTTGTATCTACAGCCCTTCTATAAGATTCAATTGCTGCATGAGAATTCTTTAATTCCACAAATTCATGTCCCATTAATGTCCATGCACTAAGACAATTTTTATTAAGTGTCAAAGCACGCTTGTAGTACATTATAGCCTTCTCATGCTCACATTTCATTGAATGATAATTAGCAATGATGCAACAGGTTTCAGGACGAAACTTATCTACCAGCGAAGCAAACTGGGCAAGGAAAGATAGCTTCGATCGTTTCTCCATTACATATAACATGTTAGAATAAGTATCCAAGTCATCAAGTCGTAATGGGTCTTCGATCAAGATTTGGTCAAAAATTGTTTCGGCTTGGAAGTAATCAAGACCATGATATGCAATTAAAAATTGTTGAACTTTTAAAAAATTGAACTTTGGAAAAGTATTTATTAAGTTGTCTAAGTTTGACTTTAAGGAAGCCAGTTGTTGATAAAATTCTTGTAATACTACCACTTCAAAAAAGTGAAACATAATATTGTTCGTCAATGAGGACTTTGCTGACTTTAATTTATTTATGAAGGCAATCGCTTCATCAAAAGTATTCAACGTGGATATTAATTCTTGCCAGCAGGACCAATTATAAGGAAAAAGACGAAGTGATTGGAAAAAGTTATGTTGGGCCATTGCATATTTCTTCTTTTTATTATACACTATACCGTTCAAATAGTATAAAAATGCATTTGGCTTGTTCTCTGGTTTGGAATGATAGTTCTCTGACTCTTGAATGATCTTAGAGAGCTTGGTATTAAGACTCCCCACAAGTTCCTCTTTTCCTCGGCTTGCAGCATTGTTATATTCATTATCAGATGGTTCATGATTATTACTTCCCTGCAAAAATAAAGATCCAAGGTTTATAGATCCGTCTGTTTCTTCCGTTGCCTTTTTATCAACGCTTATCAATATACAATACAATCGAAAGAATAATGCACTTCCACTCTTACAATCCTTCAAAATATATGATGCTCTATCAAATTCTTTGCAATTGAAGTATGCCTTTGCTAGCATAAGCTTTTCTTGGTCCATTATATCATCAGGGTCTTGTTCAATAATAGGATATTCGAATGGGACCGTTTCCTTTTGATCTGTTTGAGATAATCCATTCAATGCTTCAGCACACCATTTTGCCGCTTGAAACAAATTTAAATTCGTCAATATTTGACAAGACTGAAAAAGCTTTATCCTTAATTTATCAATATGTTCTGCCTTTACCGCTTGCATTCTATTAATCAAAAATCGTAGTATAATTGATACCCGCCGTGTGTTTATTTCTTAACTGTAAATAAAAATATACGAAAAGTGCGCTAAAACAAATACTGGCCATCATCAATTTAGCTTCTACAATACCAGTATTGGTAAACCAGAAAATATGATGACAACTGAAGATCAGACTGAAATAGGGAGATTACAAAACTCTGTACTGCAAACCATTGAAACTTTTCAATCAGCAAATAAATTACTAGAGTTGAATAAAGAACTCTTGAACAAAAATGAGCTTCTGACAGAAAAGGTGAATGATGTCAAAAAATTACAACGAGAGTTCTTATTGGATTCTTTTCGTGTAAATAGATTTCATAAAGATTATAAGGAATGGGAGAATAAGTCTAAAGATACATTTATAGAAAATGAGATTAAAGGTTATAATAACAAGTTAGGTCAAATGTCAAGATTGAATTTTGAAACAGAAAAATTGGATAAAGAGTATGAAGGTTTACGTGATACAGTTAAATTACCAGAATGTCGATTATCTATCCAAACTATAAAACTCTATAATGATGGTTTATTATTAAAATATATTGAGAAGAACTCAGACGGAGAATATCCGCAAACTGTTGACATAAGTGAACTATTTTCACTCGACTCAAACTCCAAGTTACCACAGCCAGATTTCACTGTATTTAATAGGCTCCTCAACATAGAATACAAGCTTCGTATTCAAAGGAAAGTGAAATATGAGATTCTTTTATCGGTCAAGCAACAATTGACTGCAAAGAATAAGAAATGGTCTTCAAGGGATTCAGACTTAAACTACTTTATGACCAGAAAATTGGTAGACATCATGAATGAAGTAGAGAAAGTGAGAAAGAGTGAGTATGAAGACTTGAAGGACTACGATTACTACAATAATGAAGAGGAAGAAGAAGAAATGAGAGAACAAGAATTTGAAGATGATGAGAGTGTGGATGAAAACCAAGATGAGGATGTCTTGGACGATGATGAGAGTGATAATGAAAACAATAACTCTCAAACAGATAATCCAGATGATGCTGTTGGTGAAACTGATATTGTTGGTGAAGATGATACTGCTGGCAGAGAAAATGAAAGTGATGTGATCGAGAACCAAATGGAAATGTCGGAAGAACAGCCATCTAATGGTCAATCCAACACCGACATCGAAAACGATATAACGGTGGAGAATTCCCCTGATTTAGGCGAAAAAACTCCAACTGTTGATCCTGATGATAATGACGATGTCATGAATATTGATTCGTAATTTAGATTCTTATTCTACAGAAACTGTTACTTGGAGGAATATATATTCAAATTATCACTAATAGATGCAAATTCGGGTTATAGAAAGTAGGTTTATAAGTAATTAACCAATACGAATCTAAATTATTTGTATATAAAGTATCCCAATCAACTTATTTTGTCGTTGGTTCCGTATTTGTAGCTGGTTCGGGAGTATCACTGGATCCACTTACAATATAATTGAAAACTTGTGCTGGTGAATCTCCAGCCTTTACTCTATAGTCGGCAAGTCTGTAGATTTGGTACCCGGCAACACCTCCTAAAAAGAAGTTAACACTTGCTAATAAAAAGTTACGAGGTTTGATAACAAATCCTGCCCATCTAGTCCATATAGCACCAGTAGCAAATAATGCAACTTGTTGAGTACCACTGATCTTTTCAACAGGTCTTTGTAAATCATTGAACCCAGCAATAACCAAGCACCACTTTAATACTGGGGCCCAAAAGTGAACCGTTTTAGGTCCTGTTTCAGAATGTAAATAACGTGTAAATTTAGAAGCGTGTTGTGCTGAAGCTGCCATTATTATTACTTGTAAACTTAGTGCTTTCTACTGTTAATCCAAGGATAATAACTATGCCTCTTCTCTATATATAATCTTAATCGGTATTCTCCTTGCCGGCTGCTATAACGATATGGTATATACACGACTTGGCTCGTTACCCTTCATCTTCTGTTGAATAGAACTCTGGTTCCTCCTCATCTCCTTCGTCAGAAAGAAAACTGTCGCTTGAAGGTACATCATTCATCTGATAGTATTCCGAATGGAACAATTCTAGTTGTCGGATTTCCTCACGGGTTGTAGATAATTTAAAAAATTTCTCTATGATTTCATTCCGTTTTGTTTGAGGATAATCCAGTAACACAAGCTCAATTTGGGAATAGTTTTCTATGTAATCCTCTAGTCTTTTATTCACATTAAACACATTTGTGGATATCTGAAGTGGTTCATTAAGCAAAATATCAATTAAATAGTTCTTGGAATTGTTCGGTAGAATAGAATCGTAAATTTTATTTATTATCTGGTATTCGCTTTGAAACATTTTTTTAAAAATGCTGCAATTGCGATAGAGCCATTCTTTTGAATTTTTTGCAATTAGTAGCTTATCGAATTCAGTTATTATTTCATTTCTGTAGCATCCCGAAGTGAGCTCGTCAGAAACCATGAATGATACCAATGCAACAATAATCTTTTCAAACGTCCAAGAAGCATTCCAGCATTCTTCATGGAAGCTTGAAAGCGAAAGGCAGATTGATCGTCTTGGTTTGAACTTGCCATTAGGGGAGATCATTTGGATTTCTGGGGGGCTATAAGGAAAGTTTGGTGGGAATATTATTACTCCAATATATAGACCCTTGTAATATGGGGTGTTAATAGGACCGTGAATTAGAAAATACCATATGCAAATATTCTTCTCGTCTGGATGGACAGTCACCCCTTCTATTGGTTCCAGCAATAAATTATGATACTCTTTTGTAAGTATAAGAATTGTTTTTCTATCCGGAGTTATATTGAGAGAATTAATGTTGTGAATGGGTTTGGGGTTCATCACGTCATCATTGTAGTTCATGTTGATCATATTTTGAATTGCTGCTAAATGTATAAAAAAAAAATTGTCTCAGATAGTCAACACAATTAATTGATTTCCTTAGTTTCTTAACTCTTTCGTTTTACCGCTATATCTAGATGTATTTTATCTTATATCATTATAAACTATAAGTATCTCTATAACATATTTTTAGTTGCTAAGAAAGTCTTTGTGGCAATTCAACAGCTACACTGAGCCGCTTTGCTTGCACAAACTATAAAATACACTATCCGGGTTTTGTAAAAGATTCGAAGGAGTATCAAATTCCTTTACTCTACCTTGATCCAATGCTAAAATTCTATCACTATCCATAACTGTATCTAGTCTATGCGCAATAGTGATAATTGTCTTATCTTTAAAATATTTCCTAATGGTTTCTTGAATAATCTTATCGGTCTGGACATCTACTGCAGCAGTAGCTTCATCTAGAATTAATATTTTTGAAGTGTTTAATAGCGCTCTGGCCAAGCACATTAATTGTCTCTGGCCCGAAGAAAAGTTTGAGCCGCCTTCTGATACTTTACAACTCAATTTGTCGCCATCATTACCATCCAATTGTAAAACGTGCTTGTTCAAATGGGCTAACTCTAAGGCTTCCCATATTTCTTTATCGTTGTGCTTTCCTAAAGGATCCAAATTTTGTCTGATAGTACCTTCAAAGGCTTGCGAATCTTGAGGAATAATACTTAAACTACTTCTCAAGTCATATAATGCTAAATCACTAGTGTTTCTTCCATCAATAGAAATAAATCCGGAAGTAGGTTCAATGATTCTGAAGATTGCTAGCGCTAAAGAACTCTTACCAGCACCGGTTCTTCCTACTATACCAATCTTCTCGTTGGGTTTAATATCCAAAGTAATATCTTTCAATATTAAATCCAAGTTAGCTCTATACCTGGTAGAATAATTTTTGAAACTAACAGATCCATCAACGGGCCATTTTGCTGGTGGTTTGATGAAAAGACGATCTTCATTTTCTTCTGTAGATAATTCGCAATATTCTAAGCATCTTTCTACTGAAACAATATTTGATTCAACTTCAGCCGACATACGAACGACCCAATTCAAGGAGTCTGTCACTTGTAATGCATAACTCATAACAAAACCGGCCATACCAGCGCTCAATGGCTTCGATGTAGTCAAGCTATAAATCGACAACAGTGATGCAGAAACAATAACTATGGATCCAATAAATTGCAAGCGTGTGGATAACCATCTATTTATTGATCTTAACATGTATAAACTTTTTAAGTTAAAATCAATATTGGCATTATTAATGAATTGAAATCTTTCAACTTGCCTATAAGCTCTAATTGTATCAACACCGTTGAGACTCTCTTGCAAATGGGCATATATTGGTGAACGAGAAACTGATACCAATCTTTTTAATTCTCTCGAGATAGCAACATAAAACCTCTGATAGTATCCATAAATTAAAATCAATATCACAATTATAATCAGGAACAATGGCATTGCATAGCCAACAATTCCCAAGGTGAATATTGTCCTCACTGATGACGAAAAAAATGCATTGAATACTCTAGGCAACGTATCATCTACTCTGTTGATATCATTCGTAAATCTATTCATAATTCTACCAATTGGTGTTCTCTCAAAAAATGACATTGGTGCCTTCAAAACCCTTTTTGCCATCAGGTCATGAATAAACTTAGAAGAACTTATAGCCAAGTATGTCCAAATAACTGCACCTCTTATAAAGGTCAACAAACTTGCAGTTAGTCCGAATATCGCATATACTCCAATAAACTGCCATGCATTTGCATTTCTACCTGACTTAGAGTTCTGTTCTGCCCAATATTTTAACCAATAGTTTGCGGATATCGAGGCAATAGATGCAGCTATAAGCAAAAATATCCATCCTATAACTCCAACAAGTGAACAAGATTTTGCGTATTTAAAGTAAACATCCCATTTAACCTTTCCTTTTGCTGAAACCTCATTTGTTTGTGCCGTACGTATATTAGGCAATATTTTTGCCAACGGGTTCCAATAAAATGTAGCAATACTTGCAGCACTTATACTTTCGTGACTTATTATCCGCTGTAAATCAAGAATAGAGTCATCAGTTCCCTTGTCGCTCTCGATATCATCATTCACAATTGTAGAAGAGTCTTTAGACTCGCCTACTCTATCACTATCTACTTGACTTGATATTTCAGAATTAGATTCTGAGTCATTGACGTTACCAAATTCTTTAATAAGTTCAAATAACTTAGGGTTTTTATCTCTGTTTTGTGCTTCCTCAAAAGTTCCATGCTCAATCATTTTACCGTTTTCAAGTAAATGAATATAATTAGAATAATGTAAAACTGGGATTGAATTCGTAGAAAGGATAATTGTTTTCGTAGCTAACAACCCGGATGGTTTAGCCAAAACTTTGTTAATAATCTTTTTACCAACATGACTGTCAACTGCAGAAAGGATATCATCAAATAAATAAATATCTGCTCTCGCATATACTGCTCTTGCCAAGGCTAATCTGGCTTTTTGCCCTCCTGATAAAGAAATTCCTTTTTCACCGACTTGAGTCTCATCTCCATCCGGTAATATCTCTAAGTCAGGCAATAACTGACATGCTTCAATAGCTTTCTGATAAAATTCTTCATCAAACCTGCATCCAAATGTAACATTTTCTTTTACTGACGCATTCATAATCCAGGGCGATTGTGAACAGTAAGCCACTGTACCACTTAAACCGATCAAAGGAGATTTGGTTTTATCTGTGTTGTGAATAGCATCTAGTTGGCCCAATAGAGCGGATAAAAACGAAGTTTTACCGCTTCCTACCTTACCAACAACGCAGGATAGTTCACCTTTCTTAGCTGTAAAGTTAATATCTTTCAATGCATATTTAAGGTTAGATGTAGAGTTATCGTCTTCTAGCATTTTTGGTTTTTCCCATAAAAACGAAGCTTTTTCGATTCTAACTGTTTCTTCACCTAAGTGGTTTCTTCGTGGTAAATTAACGACAAGATCTTCATCTAACTCTGAGGATAATAAAAATGATTTAATTCTCTCAATGGCAACAGAAGCCTCAACTATTGAATTAATGACCATCGGAAGTGCAAGCAATGGACTTGACAATAAGTTTAATAACGCTAATGCTGGAAAGACAAGATCTGACGTCAAAGGTTTCGACTGGCCAATTGCAAAGGTAGCGAAGGTTGCAAATGAGACTAAGAACGGAATTATGTTCCATATCAAATTTGCACACTGACTTACTAGCCTTATCTTTTTCAAATTTTTAAGTTCTTCATCATTTCTGCTATGAAATAATTTTGATAACATTGGAACTTCCCATGCATAGAGTTTAATGCTTTTAATTGATGACAAAATTTCGTTGATGATCCTACTTCTGTTATCTTTTAATTTCATTTGAGTTTTATTCATACTCCGAATATACTTCACGATAATGGTATTTAATGGAATCAATAGTAACATTGTAAATACACCAGAAAGAGTAGACTTACCCAATAAGGACCATAAGGAAATAACACACAATACTAATTCCATTGGTGCTAGAACTAGGGTACTTAAATTTTGCGACACATCTTGGATTCTATTAATATCAACCGACATCAAATTAACTATATCCCCTGTAGATGTTTGCGATTTGGCTTCCATAGATAATCTCAACCCTTTTTGATATATTAATGAAGTCAACGAGGATCGACAACCCAAGCCGACACTCAATATCTTTATAAGATATTGATTATACAACGTTGTTTGCAAAATTGTCACCAAGAACATCAGAATAGAAATGAGAATTCCCTTCATTAATGGTTGTTCTGGATCGTCAGTCTTTTCGTTAAAGAATTGGATTAATAGTCTCAATAACTGCGGTTGCACGAAATTCAACACCCGGTCACTCATTTCATAAACAAATGCAACCAATGCAAGAGGGCCAAATGCTCTTATTAATGGTAGTACCAAGGAGCTGTTTTGTGCATTCCAATATTTCGATAACCTGGCCGTTGCCACAGCCGACGATAGTTTGGTGGGCGAATTTGGCAAATCAACTTGTGTGATTGTTTGATTCTCGTACGCATTCATAATTATATCGTTCATCCAACTGAACGTAACCTTTTCGTAAAGATGAGGAAGTTCCAACTCGTTCGTTTCGTTCTTCTTGTGGAAAAATATCAACTCATGTGTAGGCTTCCAATAAGTCCTACATGCCTCCATTACGATAATGCTTAGTGAGTTAACAAGCATCAATAATGCTATCGTTGGAGACGACTCGTCAGTAAATACTGGCCATCCGGTATACGATTCTTGGAACAAGAGCATCGCCTGCAAAATCGTTAACAACGGCCAAAATGCTAATAACGACGCATGTGGAACCGCTACACGGCTCGTCTCCATAAAATGCAAGGGTAAAACGACCCCCAAGATCGTTATCGTCATCGTTAGCATCGCCAAAATTTTGGTATCGGCATATCTGTAGTGTATGTTCGTGAACAGTAAGAGCACCATGTAGAGAATCCCCTGTAATAACACTGCATTACAACGCACCCAATGATGTACTCCAGTACTCTTGGGCATATAATTTCCCTGTTTCGGCGACCTTATAACCCCAACTAAATCCATCCCACATACCACTGCAAAAATTATCGCTAAATATGTATAACTCCATGAAATGAAGCACGGATTGAATGCATTCTCCTTCGTAGGCACCAACGGGTGAAAAATAGCGCCCGGCCCACAATAAAGTAACGTCTGTGTTTGGTTCGTATCCATAATCCAATTATGGGCCATACTGTTATCGATAATGTTGCAACTGTTTCGTACCCTATGTCTTCGGGCCTTTTCTTTCCTCTTAAAAATCGAATGTCAGGTGATTCCACGACATTCGTATTCTGTGATATGTATGTCGCAAATATGCTTTTTGTCCACCGTCCTTCGCGACATTGTAGTGCCACCCCATGTCGTGGAATGATTCAACATTGTTGTCACGCACTACCTCCCAAAAAATCTCCGGCTCCGACCCAACCTGCACACGCCCTGTTATTATCCGCTCGTCGGATCCGAAATCATTTGGCCCAATCACCGTATACCAATTAGCGAAATAAAATCTGGAGAAATGTTGCTGTTCCGAGGTCTATACAAGATCCGTCTAGCCCTAATCCACTATTCTATGTTCTACAAGACGCTTCTGACTATCTAGGGTCTACCAATTCGATATATATGCCATGTCAAACATACCTTTAACCTTCACTTGAATTCGCCATGTTCAATTGCAATTGTAGCCCCATCATCTTTCGTTAATCACTATAGAATGTATAACCGAACTTCCGCATCTCCTTCACGCTATTACAAATTTCTCGTCTGTCATTGGCTAAATTCTCAATTTTCTTATGTAGTTCCATTATGGAACCGAATTTTTTTTTAAGAATGGTAGGTAACCCGCTTGAACATGATTGCCCACTCGCAGACGGGATAATTCTTTTATATAAGAATAATCAATTCCCAGATTTTTCATTCCTATATAAAAAATAAATATTTGTTAAAAGGTAAAAAGATATTTGTTTATTAACAATGTTAGCTGCTTCAAGAACTGCTGCTAAAGCGCCACGTTCAATCCGTGGATTAGCTACCGCCGGTTTAACTAGGGACTCTAAGGTTAACCAAAACTTGTTAGAAACCCATTCATTCATCAATTACAAGAAGAACTTGGAAAACGTTCAAATTGTTAAGGAAAGATTAAACAGACCATTGACTTATGCTGAAAAGTTATTGTACGGTCACTTGGACGATCCTCACGGACAAGACATTGAAAGAGGTGTTTCTTACTTGAAGTTGAGACCAGACAGAGTTGCTTGTCAAGATGCTACCGCACAAATGGCTATTTTGCAATTCATGTCTGCTGGTATGCCACAAGTTGCTACCCCATCCACTGTTCACTGTGATCACTTGATTCAAGCTCAAATTGGTGGAGAAAAGGATTTGGCTAGAGCTATTGACTTGAACAAGGAAGTTTTCGATTTCTTGTCATCTGCTTGTGCCAAATACGACTTGGGTTTCTGGAAGCCAGGTTCAGGTATTATCCATCAAATTATCTTGGAAAACTACGCTTTCCCAGGTGCTTTATTGATTGGTACCGATTCTCACACTCCAAACGCTGGTGGTTTAGGTCAATTAGCTATTGGTGTTGGTGGTGCTGATGCCGTCGATGTCATGGCTAACTTAGCTTGGGAATTAAAGGCCCCAAAGATTATTGGTGTTAAGTTAACCGGTAAGATGTCTGGTTGGACTTCTCCAAAGGATATCATCTTGAAGTTGGCTGGTATTACCACCGTCAAGGGTGGTACCGGTGCTATTGTCGAATACTTCGGTTCCGGTGTTGAAACTTTCTCATGTACCGGTATGGGTACCATTTGTAATATGGGTGCTGAAATTGGTGCCACTACCTCTGTTTTCCCATACAACAAGTCTATGGTTGACTACTTGAATGCTACCAAGAGATCTCAAATTGCTGAATTCGCCAACATCTACAAGGAAGATTTCTTGTCTGCTGATGAGGGTTGTGAATACGATCAAGTTATTGAAATTGACTTGAACACCTTAGAACCTCACGTTAACGGTCCATTCACTCCAGATTTAGCTACTCCAATCTCCAAGATGAAGGAAACTGCTGAAGCTAACGGATGGCCATTAGATGTCAAGGTTGGTTTAATTGGTTCTTGTACTAACTCTTCCTACGAAGATATGACCAGAGCTGCTTCCATTATTAAGGATGCTGCTTCTCACGGTTTAAAGGCCAAGTCAATCTACACTGTTTCCCCAGGTTCTGAACAAGTCAGAGCTACCATTGCCAGAGATGGTCAATTAAAGACTTTCGAAGATTTCGGTGGTGTTGTTATGGCTAACGCCTGTGGTCCATGTATCGGTCAATGGGACAGACAAGACATCAAGAAGGGTGACAAGAACACTATTGTCTCTTCTTTCAACAGAAATTTCACTTCCAGAAATGACGGTAACCCAGCTACCCATGCTTTCGTTGCTTCTCCAGAAATTACCACTGCTTTCGCTATTTCCGGTAACTTAGGTTTCAACCCACTCACTGATTCCTTAAAGGATTCTGAAGGTAACGAATTCAAATTAAAGGAACCAGTTGGTGTTGGTTTACCACCAAATGGTTACGATGCCGGTGTCAACACTTACCAAGGTCCACCAAAGGACAGATCAAGTGTTGAAGTTGTCATCAACCCAAGCTCCGACAGATTACAAAAGTTAACTCCATTCAAGGCATGGGATGGTAAGGATGCTGAAAGATTACCAATTTTGATTAAGGCTCTTGGTAAGACTACTACCGATCATATTTCTATGGCTGGTCCATGGTTGAAATACCGTGGTCACTTAGAAAACATTTCTAACAACTATATGATTGGTGCTATCAACTGTGAAAACGGTGAAGCTAACAACGTCAAGAACCACTACACTGGTGAATACAAGGGTGTTCCAGAAACTGCCGCTGACTACAGAGATGCTGGTAAGAGATGGGTTGTTATTGGTGACGAAAACTTCGGTGAAGGTTCTTCAAGAGAACACGCTGCTTTAGAACCAAGATTCTTAGGTGGTTTCGCTATCATTACCAAGTCTTTCGCTCGTATTCACGAAACTAACTTGAAGAAACAAGGTTTATTACCATTGAACTTCGTTAATGTTGCTGACTACGACAAGATCAACCCAGATGACGAAATTGATCTTATCGGTTTGACCACCTTATCCCCAGGTAAGAACTTGACTTTAAGAGTTCATCCAAAGGAAGGTGAAGCTTGGGAAACTGAATTGTCTCACACTTACAACTCTGAACAAATTGAATGGTTCAAGTACGGTTCCGCTTTAAACAAAATGTCCACCACTACTAAATAAGTTCATTAGATGATCGCTTCTATTTTCTTAATTAGTCGATTATGTTCGCTTAAATCGTTTAGTCATTACCTGTATTTGTTTTTTTGGTGTTTTCTGTTTATATCGTTATGAACTTTATCTAATTAACATCATATATATATTCATTATTTATTTATTCGTGTTCTGAATGTACTGTATTGATATTTATTAGTTGAGGAGACGCATTTTTCAAAGAAGAATTATGTTGCGGTGAATATTCTCACGGAGTTTATTTTTAGTGATCTCGCGAATCTCCGAAAGTAAAATTAGAGCCTTATCACCGAAAGGTAGCAATACTAATTGATGTATTATACGTAAACTATTGAACATAATAAATAAAAGAAAGAATTGAATATATAAGTACCTGTAGAAACCCCTTTTAAGATTTATGAATATAATCCATTAATTCATGTAAGATATTTTCCAATGAAATATAGAAAGAGCAATAATCGTTGATATCAACGAAGTTATTTCTTAATGAATAATAAATTTTATCGCTCAATTGTCGTAACTCGTTCTTGTCTTGTTGTGAATTTGATAAATCATTTTCATTCGTCGTTAATGTATCATTTGAAGTAAGATTGTACTGATCCTTTGTTATTAATGAATTCTGCTGGAACGTAATGCTTTCTTGATTACTTGAAAACAGACCATTTCTCAAGTTAGCAACAGGTGTAAAAGTAGGGGATGCTTGTGGAGGAATGGGTTGTGGTACATCCATAACATTGAATAATTCATTCATATTCATATAACCAGCAACCTGAGAATCGCAAAATTCAATTTCGGACTTTATATTTTCATTACCGAGATTATGTTGAGTTATAAGGTTAATGATGTTGTATTTTTCCAATATGAATCTCCATACCGAGTTCGTTAAAGATAACATTCTTTTATATTTTTCATTTTTAAACCATTTTCTATTAAGAATGAACAATGCCTTATTAATCAATTTAACATAAATAACTAATTCATTACTTGTCATGAATTCGTAGTTAAATTTAACCGTGATAATTATGAACATCAAAATTATAGAATCTAATGGAATGGTTCTTTTAACATACCAATTAAATTTACCGAATTTAATAAAATCGTTATATTTTAAGAAGTCATTCAAATTATGCAAAATAGATGGAATCAAGTTGTTCCCCAAATTTTCATAGGAAAAGTTCTCATGCTGGCTGAATTTCAACTGTGATATAGTTGAATTGTCAAAATTTCTGATAATATTTGATTCTTGAATTTGACCAAATGTATCCTCATATTGGCTTAAAGATAAAATTCCTCCTCTATTCTTACTACGATTGATCTCATATTTATCCTCGTACTTAATAGCTTCATTCCCTTGCTTCTCATCAAAGTCATTCTTTGGGTCCTTTGACGAATCACGAAGTAAAATTTTCTTATGCAAAAGCATTAATGCACGATCAACAAAACTCCAACTATGGTTTGTGATAAAGTTTATTAAATTCATTTCCTGGACAGTTTGAGGTGGGTTCAATTTATAAAATTGTGTCATCTTATTAATTGATTCGTGAATATGATAAAATAAGTTCGTGATCATTGACTTAATTTCATTAATTTCCTCTCTGGTAATATTATTTGATAACCCATTATGCAATTGATACACCAATTCACTTAAAATTCTATCATATTGAAATTTAACATTCATTGATAACATAGCGACATTGAGCTTTTTATCTTTAATTAAGCCATTCTCATTAAAAACTGGTTCTTCTTCGTCAGGCATGACCACATTAAAATCATCAAACTTGCAAATTGGAGGTAAACAATGATTATGGCTTGTTAAGGCATCTAAACCGAAAATTACCCACCATAGCAAACGTCTAAATTTAACCACTTCCCAATCATTAATTCTTAATGTTAAAACTGGATCCTTATGGAACTGCAAAAATTTTGCGTACCTTATAATTTGAGACATCTCCATAGATGATGGATTGGGCGAAGTCAGCTGGATAATTACATTACCTAACAATAATGGGATTGTTCTCAATCCATGTGGATAATTGTAATACTGACAGATCTTGTTAAATCCCTTCAAATATTTATCTATGTCTTGGTTCAATAACAAATTATCATATTCTTCAAACTCGGAAACAGTGGATGCATATAATATAGGGAAATAAAATGTATAGAATTGTAAAATATCAGGGTTATTACCCAGTGACGGAGTATCTGCTTTTACTATATTAGAATCAGAATTCTCTTTCATACGATCATGCTCATCCCAGTACTTCGAATGTTCATCAATAAAGTCTTGAAGATTAACCATTAAAGGTAAAAGAATATGAACTGAATTAATATATCTGCTGATCAACTCAAAGGACCTTTCTCTCGAAGAAGGCAAATGTTTAAGCAAGTCATCTAAAAGATGCTCGTTATCATAATAGGTATTCGTTCCATAAAGGAAATTAACAGTCGTAGCTGGATTGGACGAATACGGATTCAAGGAATTACTAATCTCAATACTTAACTGACTCGCAGCTGCTTTACTATTATTATTATTGTTTGCATTAGCCAAAAATGAATTGCTGTTTTGATTATCAATAAAATTGCTCCTGTTTTGTTGGTTACTTTTAGCAAGTAGACCACTGAGATTCGTGTGGCTATTTGAATGACTGTTGGAATTACTTTGAGCTCTAGTGTTAATAATACTCATTGGTGGTGGTGTCATTCCAGACCTATTGGTAATGTTTTCATGATTAAATGGAAACGAGCTTAAATTAAACTGGTATTGTTCATCTTGTTGATTTGACATATAGTTTGTATTGAAGAAATTGTTGGTAATATTGTTACTTCCCGTGTTCATCACAGGAGTCTGCAATAATGGGTTCATAGGACTACCATTAAAATTCTTGAGAGGTTGGTTAAGCTGGTTCAAGGGTGACTGAGCTTGCATGTTAAGTCCAAAATAAAGATCTGCAAACTGAGAGTCTTCCTTGCACAAAACAATATCATCATTAGTCGTCACAGACTCATTGCTATTTTCATTCGATTTAGGTGACATGGGCGAGATATTATGGTCCGAATAAGACGACACCGAATCTGTTCTCGCAACGTTTTCTAGCTTTATATCCCCTTCGAGCTCTCTTGGTTTAACTTCATCTGCCACTACTTCCACCTTAACCTTCGTCTGAGGCTCGACCAGTCGACTCAGCTTCTTTCCTCCTCTACTAACCCGTTCATTAATGAAGTACTTACACTCCAATCCTAGCTTGTCACAATTATTACAAACCGGTTGTACTCTTGAGCACTTGATCTTCTTGGAATGGCAATATATACAACTCAAAATCTTCCTCTGTCTAGTTTTTTGCACCTTCATCACCTTTCCTCCTTCTAGAATCTTCATATCTTGACTTTTTAACTGCTTCGTATTCTCGGACATAATGGCTGATATTATTTACTTTAAAACCGACGCTTTCCTAGACCAAAATTATATATTATTCAGCAGATATGAAATATCACTACTACGAGAAAAGTAAATGTATGGAATACGATATATCAAATAGCCTCTTCCAACAAATATAAGAAATTTTGAAAAAAGTGACAATCAAATCTTTATAAGTCTGACTGACTAAATTAGAGAATAGTATATAAGGTCGCGGGGTTAAGCGCCATCGCTCTGTGCTCGACGCATAATAGAACACAGTGCGATATTATTATTGTCTGATACAAGACGGTAAGGATAAAGATGCTTTCGCAAGCTACATGTTCTCATGGGAATGAATATAGATTTCATCTCATCACCCTGTTCAACCAATAAGCCTAAAGCTGTATACATTTATCTGGCACTTTTAATTGATTTTTGGTTGAATAGCAATTTTTTGGCAAGTATCACTCGCACAATCGCAGAATAAAATGAAATATACTGAATGCGGTTGTTCATTGTAACATGGAGAATGAATTATAGACGGGGTAAAGATGACGATCCGCCAAACCGACACAACAAAAAAAAATGCGAGATATTTGAAAAAAAGA